CTTCTAGAATTCAAGGGCTGGGCAATTTCTTGGAAATTGCCTTATCAGCACAGCTACAAGCTGGAGCTTTAACAGCTCTCCCCGAGCTGCATGTCCCTAGTTCCTATTCCTGCAGTTTGCTATATATGCTGTACACATATGTTTATTTCGTAGTTTGTTATTTTGGGCCGAGATTGCCACAAAACCACGAAGCCAAGATCAGTTGCTTTTCTGTTACTGAAATTAGGTATCAGGGAATGCCCAAAGCAAGCCAGTAACGGGGAGCAGGCGCCTGTGCACAAGACTGTGTAAAGGCTGATGCCAAGAACCTCACATGCCCTCCTTTGCTGGTGGAGAAGGGAATCAGCAGGGGGGGTCAGGGGTTGTTATCAGCAAAGCAAAAGGCAGTAAATCAGGAGCAGAGAGGTGCTGGGTTTGCACAGCAAGGAGAGTCACCGTGGTGCAGGCTGGGTTCTAAGAGCAGTGAAAGTGGGCTGAGTGGGAATGGATGAGTGCAGCACTTCATGGATTTAAACCAAAACCTTACAGTGCATTTAAGCCTCCTGGAGGCACAAGCCTGCGCTTACACAGGGATTTGCTCTGAACTTTCACAGGGTCAGGATGGGCTGGTTCACTATGAATCCCGAGGGTGTTTGCAGTGCCTCAGACCTTCCCAGGCAAAGAAGATCTGGCAGCCCAGACAGATCTGCCACCTCTTGTCATCCCCCAGCTCCTCTGCCAGTGGCTTTGCCCAGCTCATGTTTTGGGACAATGCACGGCTGGGCAGCCTCCATCCTACCCACATCTGGGGAGCTGGGGAATGCATCTTCTCGGGAGAGCTGTAGGGAGCAAGGACTTTGCATCTGGGATTCAGCCCTCATCCCCAAGGGACATGATGCAGATCTGAGCAAGGACCTGAGGAGTGGCCAGCAAAGCCCCTTGGCTCACCTGCTCACCCACTGCCCTCACCAGGACAGGCTGCTGAGCGAAGCCAGTGACTGCCTTGGAAACAAATGTCCACAGAGCCACGGGCACACAGCACCAGCAACTTCACATTCTGAACCGCTGCTATGATAATCCTGTTTGCTCAGTCTTAGTGACCGAAGAGAACCATAACCAAGGAAAACAGCAGGATTATCCTCCAGCACCTGTTCCCACTGAAAGGATTATCATAGTTGGCTGCATCAATGATGTCCTCTAGGTATCACCAGAAAGCAGCCTGAGGGACATGGCAGCCCACCAGAAGACCTCTCTTCCCTTCTGCATGCCCCTTTCCTGGGTATTTTCTGGAAGCTCCTGACAGACAAAGGCCAGTCCATGTGGATACAAGTATCAGTGCTTTCATGCCTGCAGCATACAGGCTTGCTCTCCAAATAGCATCATCTCCTGTTTGACTGTCTAACGGGGAGGTGGCGTGAGAAGTATAGGTTGTAAACTGCAGGGCTCAGAAGGCAGACAGCAACTTTAAAGCACTTTAAAACAAGCTGTTTTTCCTGCTCAACATTCCCTGTGCTTTTGTGTTCAAGAGCAGGATCGGACCCACTCACCTCACAACATGGAAGGGCTCTGTTGTGCTGCATTTACATCTACAATACAATGCTAACTGATTTAAGAGCTGTTTTACTGAAGAATGAAAATGCTTGATTGCAGAAAAATCTTGGAGTGTCCCTTAATAGTCCAGAGAGGTGCTGCAACTGCCCCAAGGCCTTTGTGACATGAGCTGATGCCTCTCTCCATCAGTTTTTTCAAGAACATCCTTCCATCCCTTAAGCAGGGGCCTTGGAAAACAAATTACTGCAAACACAGATTTTTTTTCTATAATGGAATGTAACATTAAAGTAAACACTGGAACATGGAGACAAACAAAGCAAAAAAAAAAATCAGGGAAATAATCCTTAGCTTCTAATGATTTTTGCAAAACATTGCTGAAATTAGGTTTTATTGGAACAAAAATGTATTTATCATATCTGTCAACACTGGAAAATTATGGTTAAATTACAAGTTTATTTTAAACTCTGACGATGATCCAGAAGTGATATGCTATTTATAAATAGCTTATCATACACCACAGTATAAAAAGTACATTGATCTTCTTGTTATTGAGTCAAATTCATTGTTATATATGAGATGGGAATTAGCTTTACCCCTCTGACTATAAAACAGAGAAAAAAATTAAAACCACAGGGAGGATAGCAGTAACACCCCACTCATCAGAGTCTCCTGTGAAAAGGACCATAGGAAAATGGGCCCATTGGAAAAGGCCACCCTGATTACAAAGCTTGTCTAGATCTGCGCTGAGACCAAGTGGTACCAAGCAGCAGAGATCTCTGAACCCCACCGTGGTGCACATGATCTCAACCTCTGACCTTCATGAAAGCTGTTCTCAAGCCCTGAGCCAGCCAGGCCCCTCTTTTAAATCAGTTACACTGTGGATGGGTGACTCTTTCCAAAGTCTTCTCCCTGTTGTTTTTGGCCACAGCTTTGACAGGACAGCAGGACTGCAGAAAACTTCTTGTGCCAGCTCAGCTTCAAAGCAAGGAATGTCTTGTGGCCCTGATACCAAGTACAATGCACTGCAGAGACTTCTGCAACAAGGCTGAGTAACACATGGTATAAACTGGGCATTAAGTCTCACCATGCAGCTATTTTACCTGGGCAGGAACCTCCACAGGGCTGATGATGCTGGTGCCCGTCTGTGTGCTTGCTATGCTCCTGGTGCTTCCCAGCAGCTCAGGGACCATGCTCATTTACCAGGGTAGAGCCTACCTGGGTTTTTAGGGGTGCTAACTGAGATCTCTGGCAGCCTGACGGCAGCAGTGAGGATGCCCCTGCCAGAGGGGACCAGTGGCTGCCAGGTGTAAGGGGATCAGAAATATTGTCCTTGGATATTTCAGTCTTTGAACCTCAGATGGAGGACTTTATCCAAGCTTCATTAATATCCCATTAAAAAAGACAAACATTCTCCATTGTTAGGGCCAAGCTGAGTCAGTGTGCTCTGCTCTGGTGATGGTTATGGCCATAGCCCAGGCTATGTACGTGTGTGGGGGATAGAGATGATGGGCTGTGATACAGCAGCACCAACGCAGCCCATCACGAAGCTGGCTGGCTGTGGAGCATGCAGCAGCCCAGGCCTGCAGGCAGTGCAGAGGTCATCACTGAAGTGGCAGGGAGCCAAGGAGGTGACTGTGGATAATGGTGGAGAGCTGCCTGGAGAGGGGAGATGGGAAGCTGGTGGTCAGAGCTGAGCTTGCGGGAGGCTCCAAGCAGCAGCAGCCAGGAGCTGAACGGTGACATGGGGAGATAAGGCTCTTGATGGATAGACCGCAGAAGGTTTGGAGGCTTTTGTTCTGCTTGGATAAGGAGTCAAATATTCACATAGATAAGTTTCAGAAATGCATCTGATCTGAAGTCTTTTTTGTGTAGGGCTGAAAATAGAACAAGAGAATTCCTCTGTGGCTTTCCTGGTTCCTGGGTTTTCCTTCACCAGCACCAGGCTGACCAGAATTACCCATGCAAGCAAAGCAACAGCCAGGACAGCTCTAACAGGCAGACTCTCCCTGAACCTCAGGCATTCGAGATGCCAACCTTACTTACAGCCTGGGGCATAGGGGAGATGATCCTTTGCTTAGTTACTCTCTGTTTCTTGTCATCTTGGTCCACAGAGCTGCTATGGGTGGTTTAAATCACTGTGAAGGAAATGCCCTCGCTAACATTTGTGTGTATCTTAACATATTCGTTGGCACAGAGTTTATATAACATTGCCTGGCACCGCTTCACTGGCAGAGTTATACCCACATGGAGCATCTCATTGTGTGCAAAGATCTGCAATAACCTGCTGATGAATGGCTGCTGGTGGCAAAGCCAGATAGCAGCACCGATGATCTTGGCAGACTCCTACCCTCCTTGCGCACCACACTTGGACCTAGCTGAGGGCTGCAGGCAGCACACCCAGGATGGCCAGCAGTTATGTTCCAACTTTAAACTGCAGTGCTTGAGTGGAGTGCTTTTGGAGGGCGCATAATTTCCTTGGAAATAAATTAGAGTGCTGTACTGTACTCCAGTTTCCTTGTACCATAAGTTGTTTAAACAGTTTCTCATTATGCATTTCCCATTCAGACAAAAAACAGACCACAAAGCCTGAGGCACCAAGGCTGGTAGGAAAATGGAAATCCTGCTCCAAGTAGGCAGAGAGCAGCTCTCTGGCTCTGGGCAGGTGCTGGCAGACCCAGGAAAGATTTGGGGCAGGAAGGAGCAGTAGCAATTTCTGGCTCTGTAGAGACCTTTCAGGTTCACCTTTAACAACTATGGCTCCCAGTCAGTTTTGCAGCATTTCTGTCTGAGCAATCCCCCAGCTTCGACATGCCTTAGGGAGGACCCAGATCCAAACTCTGAGGGCAGAGCAGCAGAGGGCTTCCAGCAAGCCAGAGAGTCCATCCCATTTAGGGTCAGCTCATCTTCGCCTTCCCCCATGTCTCTCCCTGACCTTCCCAATTTGCTATTTATAGCTTTGCCCTAATGATCCCCCCCCATTCCACCCCCTAAATTTAACCTCTTCCTTGCCAAGTGGTGTTTGGAATTTACAGGAGAAAGTTGTTTATGTTAAATAGCTTTGTAATAGTTTCCTCCTCTGCCGCCTCCCTTCCTTCCCCAATAAAAGCCCTACAGTGTGCTTGGCAAAGCCTGTAAACAAAGGAGGGGTTTGGAGATCCAACCAGTTTTTGGTGAACGCAGTGGGGAAATAATGTCTCTTTTGAAGAATGTTAAAGCCTGAACTCATAATAGTAGGAAACTAGTATCCACCCTAGGTAAGGAATTGCTTACTTGCAGCTACAGGGCATAAAATACAGATGTCCATGTAGTCATTGTTGGGTGCAGGGGGTTAACCCTGTGTGTTTTCCTCACTGGTCAAGATGGTGTTGATGGCAGAAAACCAATGTGTTTGTTAAGCTCCAAATACTTGAAGTTGTGACAACTGAGCAGGGAAAGGAGAACACAAAAAGGCAGCAGTGTTTTGAACTCACCTAGATTGATGAACAGAAGCACAAGGCAATGAAAATCCATTAGCCTGACTGTTCCCTGCAGAGGAAAAACAGGCACACAAAATCCAATTCATTATTCTCTTTCTTATTTAATGCTAAGTAAGTCATTGAACTTTACTACTTGATCTATCCATTTTCTTTAGTAGAAGGGCTGCAGGAAATCTTTCTCTTCTCAAAGGGGGTTTCAAGTTTCTCACCAATATCATGCAAAAAATACTTGGAGTGTATGAGTAAAAAATAACTGCATTTCAAAGGGAGCTTGAGCCATGAAGATAAGGATAATTTTTCTCTTCTGAAGCGCAGAACCAAAGAGTGGAGGCCCCTGGAAGCTGGGAGCACCATTGTTCTTCTTCCAGGTCGTTATCTGGAGACAGGCCCTGTGATAGACTCTGATGAGGCCACGGGAAGGATTATCTGCTGGGAGTGCTAATGGCATGCATTTGACAACATCAACTGTTTAATTTATGAAGTGACTTGTAACGTAAAGGCAAAGCAATTCATACCGTGCAACAGCCCAAACACATCTGGTACAATTAAAAAGTATGCCATCAAAGCCCAGCCCTGCTCTACAACCCCATTTACTTAGTTAAGGTCACGTAGAAATGTTCCACCTTCCTAAAAGGCAAAATCCTACTGGATTTTGTACTGTGATGGCAGTGTTATATAATGAGAAATATATTAATGGAAACTATCCAGCACTGAAATCATTCCAGCCTTTTTATCACCACACTCCTTGCTCCCACATAAGTGAAGTGTGCAGGAATAAAAGCAGTTAAACATCATCCACCAGAAGACACACATGATGGGGATTGCTCACAAGCCCCTAACAGCTCAGTGGTGCCCATCACTGTTGGGATCCATATATACACTCTGGGCAAACAGAGCTGCTCTTCCTGCGAAATTATTTTTTCCACTGCTCATGGCTTGGGGCCATATCACCCTCTTGCAGTTGGGGACAGTTTAGTGTTGCCACCCAGTACCTGAGTAGCTCATTCAGCTCCCCTGGTTCTGATCTCTGCCAAGAGTTGAGGAGTTTGTCCCATGCTCTTCACTGTGGTCTCATGGATAATCAGACTTAAATAATGTTTTTCTTCTATCGCAGGAGTATTTGTACAAAACTAAATTTATTTTAGTTTTTCACATGCAATGAGAAGCTTAATGACTTAGTCATTAAGCTTCTGAATAGAATATTCAGATCAGCCTCTGAAGGGAGGGAAGGTGTGGGTGGCAAGTCTTCCTTTTCTCAAGCATGGTTCAGGCAAAATGACGGGCCAGAGGGTGCTGGTCTGAGCCTCACCTTCTGGAGCATCACCACTGGACATGAGATCTGTGATCACAGTGATGGATTCAAATCAGGGCTACTACCAAAACAGATGATCTCTGCCCCATCACTCTGCATGTTTCCTATGACCCTCATGAATTTTTTTGTTACCCATGTTCGTGCAACCCGTGTGGATTGGCTGAAACAAACCTTGTCTGAAAGGGCTGGTTTTCAGCCAGAGGAGCCCATTGCCCACATGGTTGCAAAGGCAGCAGAGCCAGGGTGAGCAGCAGGACATGCAATGGGAGTTGAGGGGAGGAGGATGCAAGCACCAGCCCTGGCTTGGACGGGCTGATGCTGAAAACCACAGACATGCACCTACCCTGCTGACAGATAGCTGGTAACCACCTGGCAGTGAAACAGGAACAAAACCTCTCCTGTGGATGCTCTCAAGGTGGTTTAGAGCAGTGCTGCAACACCTGTTGTTACTGGCAATTACTGCAAGAGCAGCTGCCTTGTGCTCCGTATTAGGTAAAAGCTCCAAAAAGCCCAAGTATTTGACACAAGCTGTTTATGCTCCTGTGTCAGATCCAGTCTGGATGCACTGATAGCGTGGCTGTCCTAGTCTACTGATGGGAACCCGCCAGGGTACCAGCGATGCTTAAGTCGGGGGGGGTGTGTCAGCAACAGGTCCCATCGCCGCCCCCCACCCTCCCCCCCCCCCCCCCCTTCCCCTTGCCTCCGCCTCCCTAGCAGAGAGAGGGCAGCTCCTGCCAGGGGAGCATCCCACACTGCCCTGGTGTCCTAAGTGAGCTAATGGAGATTTTATTTGACGGCTCCCAAGTGAGTATTTAGGGGAAGAACAGATAAACAAAACACTTCTTGCTCAAGTCTTCAAGCAGGCAAACTGTGAAACAATGGGAGCTCTGTGGGACTCCCAGTTCACCTGCTCCAGTCCAACAGGAAGCACTCCTCCCTCCACAGCACAATGGTGGGGCTGGCACTCACCTTTGTGCCTCTGGATACCTCTGGGGTCCCCTCTGACACTTGGGCGGGTGAGAGGGGTACACATTATACACACGAATGGGAGCAGAGTGAGGTGACTGGGGGCACCGTGAGCTGTCCCTGGGGTGGCACTTGTCCATCAGCACGGCTTGCACAGGATGTGCAGTGGCATCTGTAACCCCTACTGGACCAGTCAGCACAGGGTTCTTCATCTGCACACGGAAACTTTAACTCTGAACAGTGTTCTCCCTTCCCCGCTAGGAAATCCTGCCAGGGGCTTGTCTCGACTACTACTTCTTAACAAGAGGTCTTTAAATTTTGGACACAAAACACTGTTTAAATTTTACCACCTGGCAAATCTTTTGTCACGAGCTATTGTGTTGTCCCTGCAATTGTTCCTACAGTGGCAGGGAACTCTGCAGTCCCCCTCTGAGGGAGGGCAGCTGACAGCCTTTGAGGGGGCTGCAGCACTCGTCTGGCCCTGCAAAATGACTTGTTGGTAGCTGTAACCCAGCAGCTTCTGAGGTTTTGAGCTCTTTAGTGTCTCTGTTTGCCTCTTTGGTGCATACACTTAGATCTGCCTTTCAAAGCATTGTGCCAATGAGCTTAAGACCAATTATCAAAATGATTTTGGTAGGAAGAAGCTAAATATCATGGCTTTGAGAGAGACATGGGGCCAGGCTTGCAAAGGTACATCACTGCTTAGAGACACACAACAGTGGCTAATGGCTAAAGCACTGACCTAGTAGAAAATCCTCATCTAATCTCATTAAGGACAACAGGATTCGGTGCATTACACAGGATCAGAAGGGAAAGGCACACCATTACATCTGAGATGCTCTGCTAATCATGGCAATGGCAAAAGTCTTGGTAGGCTTCTGTTTTCTCCTTTAGGTTGTGAACCTGGAGGTCAAGACTGATTTTCTATTTGTCTGGGAATTTTGCACTCTGTTGCAGCTGGTATTAATAAATTTGAGCATCAATCCTGGAAGGAATGGGTATGCCCAAACCCAGACACTGATCAGCATGGTACTATTCATGTCTGGAGGCAGACTGCTGTCAGGGCACGACCAAAAAACTTGTGCTGTTGGGTGCTAAGGCTGAGCATGCAAACACTGCCGTGAAAAAACCTGGAAGCTGAATGGGGCAGGGAAAAAAAAAAAAGACAGTTTGTGAAGCAAATGTGCCTGCCAAGCTGCCAGTTTTGGTGAACCAGGAAGCTGATCAGCAGTTCACACAACAAACCTGAACACTCTTCCATTTCCAGCACGATGGGCCCGATTCTGTCGCTGGTGTTTGCAGGACAGAGCGATGACTCAGGGCAGTGGCACAGTCAGCAGCAGCTTGCACCAGCATGCCCGGCACAGTGGGCACACCCTGCAGCACCCACGCATCCCTCCCGCAGCACTGCCACCCCTGGAGGCCATTGGGCACCTCCTGCTTGGAACCACCCGAGAGGATACTACTCGGAGGGAAGGGGGAGATGCTGAGGGGGTTGTTTGTGTCCTGGGAGCCGTGGTTGGCCAGGGAGCTGTGTGGCTTTACATGGCTGAGAAGTTGCTCAGGTGTGCTTTAGTCTGCTGCTGTTACCCAAAAAGAGTAAGAAAAACTTTGAGGAATGTTTTTCGGGCATGTTTCAGCTGCCAGTCCCTTGGTGGCATGGTCCTGCATGGAGGGTGTCTTACCTCTCACACTTCTTAACCTGCGTTTCCACAATGCCTCTGCCTGGTGCTTCCCTATCCAGTAAAAGGCAACACCTATAGCATGGCCAAAGATGTCCCAGTTTTTCTTTTTGCAATGACAATCCTGGGTTTGCTTACCAGCATCACCTTTTTTATCCTTTTCCCATCTTGCTCACTTTTTTCCAGCAGAGTTTGACAGCCTGAAGCTACTGATTTGCAGGGATAAATCACCTGCTGTTACCATGGGTCTGCTCCTCATGGATGGTCAGGCACACAAACATCTCAAAGAAAAAGCATATTGATTTCTTCTGCGAGATGATGATCACAAATATTGTTGATCTTACATTATACGTGATTGTTTATATAAAGAGAAAGAATCTTTACTTCCTCCTGGGACGTTTGGGAATCTGGCAGGCTTTGAAAGCGAGTCAGTGGTGCATAGGGTAATGCTCCTTCAGGGGGAGTGTGCTTACTGCTATTGCAGGAGATCACATCAGTGCTTTAGACACGATCAAACAGAAAGTTCCAGTTAAACAATGAGTTTTTAGGATGAAAAGTGAAACGTTAAGAAGGTGTGTACAACTCCATGAATTTGCTTCATTTCATTCGTTGATGTGGTGGTAACAGAACTATTTTTAGGTATAATCCTTCAAACAGAACATGACTTCTCCTTTCTGATTAGTACAAAGCTGGCTGCTAGTCAAAGGATAATTATTTCCCAACACATCACCTAACACACACCAGCAAACAAAACACTCATTATTTGAGCTATCCAATATTAACTGTTGTTTAGCAGTTAACATTTTCTCAACAGCTTTAAACAGGACTAATTGCTCCAGCTTCATTAGCAGAGGTCATTTACTGTTGGTAACAATACTTTTCTGGAGATAGTCCCTGGATGAGATTAGATTATCAGGTCAAATTCTGCTCCCGGTGGCAATGATGCCTGACCGCATTTGGCCTCACGAAAGTCTGCTCTTTCAGTTCATAGCTTCCCAATTTCCAGCCCTGCAGCTGATATATTACATAAAGGAAGTAAATGCACTCCACCAGACGGGAAATTACAATAAATTAGGAAAGTGTGCGGCACAAGAAAGGTTGGCAAAAGAGCCATTTAAAAGTTATTAATAAAACCGCAACCTCAGATAGGGTTTAGAGAAAAAAAAATAAACCCGATAAAGAAGTTGTCCTTATAGTTGAAAACACGTCAGCAAAGAGGGAAAGCAGTGTTTGGAGAAGAACCAGTGTGGCCTGCATCACAAACACCCAGCTGATGCTATCAAATGCTGCATCTGCTACAGGCATGGTTCAGATCATAAACCACTTTTTTTGCACATAGTTTCATGCTGATTGGAGCTACAGCCAGTGGATGCTGAGGGTTGCAGTCTTCAAGTGCAGCAAATTTGCAGGAGGGTTTCTGTTCAGCTCTCACAAGTGGGAAGTCCTTCTGCAGGGCCTGCAATAGCCTGCTGCACGTCTGAAACAGCCTCAACTTTCCTGAGCACACGGAAAACTGAATCCAGGCTTTCAATCCAATATATTCCCATTTAAACATGTGGAGTGAAGCAGCCTTCTTTTCAGAAGTGCTGAGCAAACACTGCTTAGAGTGAGGCTGGCGCCTTTGAGAATCAGTCATCTTCCATATGGAAGTCTCAGGCATCCTTGCCAAATAATTTTGGTCCTGGCAGCTGCAGGACATTTTCTCTGAGTGGATTTCTGGTTTACCTGTGTCTCCCTTCCCTGCAGGCCTGTGGCTCTTTGCTGTTACTTTCCTGCCCATGTACGTGTGCAGCCGCATGCCTACCACCTATACTTTCTGACTTGCAGCTCCAATTGCTAATCCATGTCTGGTTTTCGTCAGAAAAAAATATTCATCGTGAGCGTTTGACTCACTGCCTCCGGAGTATTTCAGCTGCCCCACAACACTTTTCAGAGTATCCTTCTTCTCTGCAGAGAACAGCCTGTTCTGAGCATGATCCACAGCAAACTGCTCGCCAGCAGCCTCCGGTTCCTCGCACACGTGTGTGCCATATGTCCTGCTCTGTCCGCACCGTTACTGTGCCACTGCTTGTCTCACGCCGTGCAAGATGGACTGGCATCCACCATCTGGGCTGCCAGGTGGATTACCTTAGCTGTCCATGAAGGTACTCAATGTGTCAGCCTCCAGACTCTTCCAGCAGGTCCTCAGCTGGCAGAAATTCAAGAGCAGACAAATCCTGACCGCCTTGCTGACAAAGCTGGCCCTTCTGTGGCCAATGGACTAAATTCATCCTACCTCAATGCCATTTCACTTGTCCAGGGGAAGCATCACCCAACACAGCTATTTGGCTGGAGAAGCCGAGCAAGTTCTGGCCATAAATTTCTCACCTAAGTCAGACTCTTTTGAGGCAAAATTTTCACCACTTTTTGAAGTCCAAGAACATAAGCGTTTGGGCGGTTAAAATTAAGTATGTGAACTGATTTATGAGATGAAGAGCCAAGTCCATTAGATTGCCCTGCTCCATGCAGTAGGCACTGTGCTTCCCCAGGATCTGCCATCCTGCTGAGGATGAGGGCTTGGCAGCCACTGCAGCTCCCAGCTGGGCACTGGGGCCGGATCCTGTCCTGCTCTACCCAGTAGGAAGGGACCTGGTCCTGCCCTGGCTTGCTGCGATCCCCAAGGCACACAGAGAGAGCAGTGCTGCCTCCCCATTCTGTCCCAACCCCAACATGCACAGCCAACATCTCCCTGCAATCACTGGCATGAGACATCGCCATCCTGTGTGCCCTTCTGATCCTGTTGTATTTGCTGTAATCACAGATAAAAACAGATTTAAAAAAAAAAAACCAACAAAACATCTGGTGGCAAAGCCCACTTCCCTTAGCTCCTGATCTGATGTCAACCCAGCATTTCAAGAACCCCATTTCACTATTGTCAAGGGAGACACCATTAACTGCAACTCACATCAAACCCCAGTAACATCAATGGAAAAGTATTATTTACTTTCCTGGTCCCTTTATTTTGTCTTTTCATAAAAAGCATAACTTTTTTTTTCCCCGTGGAAATACAACATTAGAAATTGCGAAGGACAAATTCCTTAACTTTGAAAACAAAAAGAATGAACAAATGGTTTCCAAAACAAACCATTAGCCACCACCCTAAAGAACTCGCTTTGGGAAGTGCTCTTCCTGGGAGCTGATTTTTAATTAAACTACGCTTCTGAGTTTTATAAAGCTAAAAGTGGCTTCACTTTTATTCTGCAGTAGGTTTTTGTTGCTCTATCTGTCGTGTATTCATTTCAGTAATGAAAAACTTTATGAAACCACAAGGATACAGCGTATTTTCATAAAGCAATAAAGAAAGACACTCTTTTGAACTAGGGACACAAATCTGCAGCACTTCTGTTCACTGTACCTCCTAACTTGGATCATTCAGTTATCATGATCTGGCCCCCAAGGAGTATGTGACTGTCGGCAGTGCGCTGCATATGACCTTTAGCTTTATCATCTGCCAACCAGGTACTTTTATTTCACGCAGTGACACAGAAGAGGTTTCTTCAGTGTTTAAGTTTGTCCCGGAGTCCAATCCTGTTCCAGTTATGCTTCTTCCATTCCCTCAAAGGGCAGCTCCTTTATTACAATAGGAAGGAACCAAAGCCTGGACTCCTCTGACCGGCTCCCTGGCTGCCATCTCCCCTTACAGGGCATGAGCCCCCCCCGGTACTCATTGGGCAGGGGTCTCACCCAACTTCCTCACTCAGCACTAGGACCCATCCCACTGGACACACATCACCCACACCAGTTGGGCAGGATCAGGCATGAGGTGGACCTACTTGTGGGGTGGCATGTAATGCATATGGAGATTTCTTTCTACTCAAGACCATTTCTAGCTTTCAAATTAAACATCCTCTGTAATCTTAACTGTTCTGGTCTCTTGACTCCCGGCCTCGTACTACTAACAAAAAAAACCAAAAAACCCAAACAACAACAACAACAAAAAAGAAACCCCCAAAACCCCCCAACAAAGAATATATTCCAGAAAGGAACAGTTCGAGAAAATGAGTGTATTCATTATCAGAGTGGAAACACCTTGTCTTTTAGCCACTAATTTTAAGGGAAGTCACTGGACCTCAGTGCAACAGGAACACAACCTTACTGCGTTTCAAACAGGTTTTTTACAACACTGTGTCAGGAAAAGCCATTAGATAGAGTTGTATTGGTAATCTGAGCCATCTTTGGAGAAAAACAAATGCTGTTCTTCCCATTATAAGTAGGTATTGTTTCAAAACCTATAGACACACACTTGCTTGTGCTGCAATGGTATTTATTGCACATAGACCAATTACTTACACAGTAGTAAATTGCACCAGAGTATAAATATGTTATAAAACACACACAGAGAGGAAAATGGAAATGACACACATGTGCTAAAACAACAGCAGATTCACGTGGGCATTTGGAAATAAAAATAATAAAGTCTCTTAAGATATTTTAATTTATAATATGATATATTTACAGTACCTTCAAAAAATAATATTAAAAAAGTCACTCTCTCAATAAAACTATAACAGATCAGACAAAACCAGAAATCAGGTTCAGGGTCAGTGTTACTCAAACCTCTGTTTCCTTTTCAATTTGCGTGTGTGTGTGCAAGTAACATCTTCAAATAAGTTTACAACTCTTAACACTGTGCAAGAAGAGGCTTTGCCGACATTTTTAAAAAAATGTGCAGTAAATTTTTGTTGCCGGGATTCTCCCCCCCTCCCCCGTTCATCTGTTATTACAATGAACAAGCTGCAGAAGGCTCCTCGCCCCCCCCCCCGCCCCTTTTTTCATAAAAACCTATTAGCGGTATGTAAATATGCTGTTTAATATAAACATGGTCCGTTCATTCCCCTGTACAATATGCACAGTTTGAGGTAGAAGTTTCTCAGCCTGACTGCTATTGTCTGGCCGAAGGAGATAAGCGCAGTAACTCACTGCTTGCTGATGCAGAGGGAACAAGCACAAGAGTGTGGGTTGGGTTGTTTTACCCCCTTTCAAAATATACCAGTGCTCCTCATTACTCATTATTTTTCCCTGTCGCTACTCTGCGGAAGGGGAGAGCACGGCTACTCTGAGCTTAAAACTCATCTTGGCAGCAGATCTCCGTCTCGCCAGCCGTACTCTGTGTCCGGAGCACCTGCAGCACCGACCCTGCGCCTCCCAAAACCCCAGTGCTCTGGGTGAGGGGATGAACCCCGGGGCGAGGCGGGGGTGGCCGGGACCCCAAATGCAGCCGAATTCAGCCGTCAAAGGCTCGGGTTCAGCCTCCAGCACGGTCCCGGGACAGGCACCCGAGTGCAGGCGCTGCTGCCGCAGCCCCCGTCGACAGCGCGTTTCCTAAAGACAAGGCGGCTGTCCCTGGGACGGGCTGTTTATTTCCTTTGTTCTCCGGTCAGTGGGTTTCCTGTTTGCTGTAGTTTCGGATGAGGTATGTCGTACACCACTTCACCTGCTTTTATTCCTTAGTAAACACCCGCACTCTCCCTGCGAAGGCAAGGGATCGTTTTGCTTGGCAATAGCATTACCATCAGGCATCTGCCGGGGATTACTCCTGCGTGTTTCCCTGCCTGCCATTCCCCCCCTGTCCCGGGTCTGACGCGGCCCCCCACGGCCCCCCTATACCTTGGACTCCGAATCGGAGGTTCTGCTATGTCTCTCCTCCAGGCTGGACTCGCTGCCGCCCCGTGTGCCCCCGTTGTAGTCGGACCAGGTCCCTGCCAGGCTGCGCTCGGGGGAGCCCACGGTGCTGATCAAGCCCCCGGGCAGCCGGGCCAGCTCCCCGCCGCCGCCGTGCAGCCACCGGTCGGCTTTCCGGCGGCAGCAGAGCAGCCTCTTGAAGGCCTTACGAAAGTCGGGGCTGCGGCAGTAGATGATGGGGTTGAACGCGGAGTTGGCGTAGCCCAGCCAGTTGAAGAAAACGAAGAGCCAGTCCGGCACCAGGTCCCTGTTGAAGACGTTGACGATGTTCACCAGGAAAAACGGGAGCCAGCAGAGGGTGAACACCCCCATGATGATGCCCAAAGTCTTGAGGGCTTTCTGCTCCTTCATGGCCATGATGCGGGAGCTCTTTCGCTTGCTGGCTCGGCCGTTGCCGAGGATGGGCTGGTGGTGAGGGTGAGCGGGCAGAGGCGTCTGCGGCTGCTCCTGGCTGCCGTAGAACCGGCCCTCGCACCTATCGATCTTCCTCATCTGCTCCTTGGCCTCTCTGTACACCCGGAGGTACACAAAGATCATGATGAGAAGGGGGATGTAGAAAGAAATGATGGACGAGGCGATGGCGTAAGCCCTGTTGGTGACGAAGTCGCAGCAGCCCGGGTCCTGGTAGCACTCCAGCGCCTGGGGGTCTTCGTCCCGCCACCAGTGCATCATGATGGGCAAGAAGGAGACCAAGGCAGAGATGGCCCAGACGGTGCAGATGATGCCCTTGGCCCGACCCTTGGTCATGAGGCTCTGGTAGCGGAAAGGTGAGGTGATGGCTAGGTAGCGGTCGATGGCGATGACGCACAAGGTCTCGATGCTGGCCGTCACACACAGCACGTCCAGGGAGGTCCAGCACTCGCAGAGGAAGGACCCCCAGAGCCAGGTGCCCCGCACCACCAGCGTCGCCCCGAAGGGCACCACCAGCAGCCCCATCACCAGGTCGGCGCAGGCCAGCGAGGTGATGAACAGGTTGGTGAGCGTCTGAAGCCGCTGCGTCCTCCCGATGGCCGCGATCACCAGCACGTTCCCGGCCACGATGAGCAGCACCACCAGGGCCATCAGCAGGCTCATGCCCACAGCCCACTGCTGCGACAGCAGCTCGGCGGCGGGCAGCTGCCTGCTCCCGGGCGGCACCGCCGTCACCCCGGCCACGGAGCGGTTCTGGGGGCCGCAGTCCGGCGGCAGCCACCCATCGCCCATGGCTGTGCGGGGCGCTCCGGCCGCCGCTCCGCACCGCGCCGCGGGCAGGAAGGCGGCGCCGCCGCCGCCGCCGCCCCGGGGCTGCCGCATGGCCCCGCTCCGCGCCGCCGGACCGACCGCCCCGCACCGCCCCGGCACCAGCCCCGCACCAATCGGCACCCAGGGGGTGGAGACGGACCGCCCCGCCCACGCACCGGCGGTATGCCTGCCCGTATCCCTGCTCGTATCCCTGACGGCATCCTGCCGGTATCCTCATCCGTATCCCTCCTGGACCCCCGTCTTTGCTCTGGCTACGCTCCTGAAAGGAGGTTGTAGCGAGGTGGGTACCGGGCAACTAGAAGTAGGACAAGAGGACACGGTCTTAAGCTGCGCCAGGGGAGGTTTAAGCTGAACATTAGGAAGAAGTTCTTCGCAGAAAGAGTGATCGGGCATTGGAACGGGCCCTGGAGGTGTTTGAGAAGAGACTGGATGTGGCACTTAGTGCCATGGTCTAGTAGACAAGGTGGTGTTGGGTCAAAGGTTGGACTCGATGATCTCAGAGGTCTTTTCCAGCCTGGTAGATTCTGTGATTCTGTGCCTGTCCCGCGGCTGCTGGGCACAGACCTTCTCCCCCCTCTTCCCTGGGACACCCACGCTGTTGTACGGCAGCCGCGAGGCAGGCAGGGGATGTGAGCGGGAGCAGAAGCTGGAGCAGAAGCTCCACCTCTTTACTCCTGTAAAAAGCAAAATGCCAGATCCCGGCACTGTCATCATCATTCTCCACTGAAAAGTAATTGATATCCCCTCCCATGGGATGTCCCCCACCAGGGACACTCTCTCGCAAGCCCCCCCACACTCTCTTGCAAGCCCCCTGTCACCAGTGCCTCCTTCCCCAGCCTGGGCAACCCCAGAGCCCCATGGAAAACTCCTGGCTTAAGGTATAATGCTACCAGCTCTGTGCAGAGAGCTATGGCTTGTCCCCTGCATTTCCCCACCGTGAATCCTCTTTTCCCCATCTCATCCAGCCCTGCCAGATGAAGGCACCGCAAGGTTGAGAGGTGGGAGTCCCAGCTCCCCTTTCTGACTTTCCTCCACCTCACCGAACAGTTCTCTCTGGACTTTTAAAAATGCGGGCAGCAGCTTCAGTCTGAGCAAACCACACTAAATCTAGGGACTGCTCTAAGTATTAGTACTGTTAGTGCCATTATTGGTGGTAATGAGCAATAAAGTTCATGAAACATCCCAAGGCTGCAATGCCCAGATAACAGACTTTGATCGAATCCCTGCCCGACTCCTATCTAATTCCATGAAACCTGCTGCTAGCAACTAGTTGGATTGGCTTCCCATTTGCTTGCTTGGCCCTCTATTTGGCTCCAAAGCTGTAAGATTACTCTTGGGTGCATTTAACTGCATTTTACTCCTCTTTAAAACTTCTTAGAATAATGTGGAACAGCCACTGAGTAAATGAGAGCGATGTCCCCTCTCTCCTGCTTTTTTAATCATCAACATGTCTTACAGCAGCACCAAACATTCCCCACAGCACTCTGGGAGCAATTGGGAGCCATGGTTATTTTCTTTCCTCTATATATTTATTCTGCTAAGACTGCTCCGCTGTTCCAACTGGACCATAAAAATCCCTTCCAGGCTTAGGCTTGATTTACAAGGTCACAACCTGGGAAAAAATTATTTATTTATTTACACTCTGTTTATTTAACCCTGACTAAAGGCCACACACCAGCATGGACCTGCTGCTTGGCAAACTGTTCCCTCATGTTCCCATGGACTTTGCTTTGCTCCTCGTCATCTGCTGGACCACAGCATGACCCTCTTTGGCGGGAAGGGCAGGAGGCATGACATCTTCAAGAGCAGAGGGAGACCTTATGCCAAATGAAAAGCAGAAGGGTTGTGTCTAAGAATATTTCTCCAGGTCTGGTATCTGTAATTCTGATTTAAAAAAATAATAACCTGAAACCAGGTTAATGGAGCTGTGGGATAGAAACAATTTTTTCTTTTCTACATTTAGCTGGAACACTTAAAGTACGAGCCCTGCGGTGCATCATTGAACCAAAGCCTTCACAGTTGAGATGCTTGGATGTATTTTGTGAATGTGTATAGTTCATTTTAGTGCAAAATCAGCCAGATAAAAACCTGATAAAATCTTAAATACTTTTCCCAAGATGATACTGAAGCAGTGTTGGGGATACTCTGTAGCTGTTTTGCTTGCTATTCCTGGAGCATCATCCATCTGTCATCTGTCCAGATCCATTATTGCTGTAGTATCTTTATACAGTTAATAAATACCATAAACTAATAAAATGCCAACTCTTTGCCTATCGAGCTGTCCTATGAGGTCTCCAGCTGGAGGTCTCTTCCCACTGTAAGGGAAGATAAGCTTAAAGGTTGGAGAATTAAAGGAAATTACTGGCAAGTACGCAATAAACCAGAAGACACATAATTGTGTGTTGCTTCTCAGTATCTTTGTTGGTTTAACACGCATCAATCTGGAATGTCAGATCAGAGCTGGAGCCAGAATGTCTTTGGGAAACAATGCATCTCCAAAGGAAAAAATAAGCAAATTTACAATTTCTGTACAGAACATCCCTCTGGCCCTTGCACAGCAGAGCAGCCAAATATTCACTGTAGGTTTAACCCCTTTCAGAGTGTTACCTTTTGAAAATCTCCTTTAACTCAAAATTTCCTTTTTTTTTTTTTCATTTCAGACAGTTCTTTAACATGATTTTAATACCACCCTTTGTTTGCATATTATGGAAGAATGTTAGGTCAAGAGAAGAGCTTGCAGCACTGAAATGGTTTGTTTCTAATTGCTCTCCACATTACAGTTTTTAATAAGCAATTAATTTATTTTTTCTTTTGGAAGTCATTAAAAAAAAAGAAAAAAGAAAGCCTGAACTCTCAGTAGTTATTAGGAGAGATCAATCTTATATGGCATAGGGTTGACAAGTAGATCTGATGAGAATCAAAATGTTTTGCATTTGAGGAACCCTGTTGTCATGAGCGGTGAAGCTTCAACACATCAGGAACTGAAGTGTCCTATCTAGGTGTGTTTTTAAACCCAGTCCTTTGAGATGGTTTGCACAGCTCCCTGTCTGTCTTCTTACCTCTCCCTGCCTGCAAAACAGATTGCAAGATGAGGATCCTATTGAATGGCATGTTCCTGCATTCACAGCACTGCCCTGGGGAATGTCAGCAGCACCAGCAGCGGGGCAGGGGACTGGGAATGGTGCTGGACACTGGGGGCAATCCCCTCCTTCATCATAGCTGTAGTTAGGGCAGTGCTGGGACCAGTGGATTTGCTGTTGCCAGCTCTGACATGCTGCTGTAGGCCATCCCTGGATCTCCAGGGCTGCTCTGAGCTCTGTGTGCCAGGTCTTACATAGCCTGTGAGATTGGTTGGGGAGGGAGGATGTTGGCAGAAGGGTGATGAATGTTTGAAGAAAGATGGTGGGATTAGCAGATGAGGAGAGTGGTGAGGCAATTTAACTTGTTGAAGTCATAATCTCATAATGTAGTTGGAGGAATTAAAAATTGTCATGAATGGAGCGAAATAATTTAGATGAATACAAGGATATTTAAGGAGTGGTAATGTGATGAAAGGGAAAATTTGTTATTAATATCTGAAAGAACTTTTAGGACATCAAACCTGTTGGGTTGCAAGGAGTGGCAGTGAATGTCTCATCACTCAGGCCTTACAGTTAGGTTTGACAAAACTCTAATTCTCAGCTATGGATCAGATTTCATCATGTCTAAGATCCAGACATTCCCAGGTTTTACTTTTAGCTTCAACATGTTTTTTTTACCGTATCTCAGCAACTTGGCTCTTGACAAGTAACTTTCAGTTTTCTCCACAAAAAGAAAAATAAATTCGGTCATCTTTGCTACTGGGTAACCGGCTGGATTTAAGGAAGCTTTAGTGGAGAAATGCAACGAAGAAACAGTTTCTCTGTGGCTGTGACAATGGCGTGGACTGAGCAGAAATCTCCCGTGGGCAAGCAGTTAGGAGGAGTAGTTGCCTTCCAGGCACAAGGGGTGATTGTGATGCCCTTATGACCCAGAAGGATCTTGTCTTCCTTGTTTAGCCTTGTTCCAGTCACGCCTTCATGAATCAAATCCAGGGACCACCATTATCAACATAATGTCCTCTTAAAATATTAACAGTTTGTTATCTTAAAGCATTAGTCAAAGCCCACTAAAATGCCTGGAAAGCCTTCCACTAATTTCGGTGAGCTTCATGTTGTTGTCATTCTTTCTCTGGAGAAAAAGGACTACATAAAAGCAAATTAAAAATGCTGCCCCTTTTTCTTTCTGATGTCTTCCTAAATCTCTTTGTAAACTTAGCATGCATCTGAGAACCATTTTGTGTTCGTTACCTGGACAGCTGACTAAAACCTCAGCTGAAGGAAAGCAGATGAGAAACAACTCTGCGAGTCCTCACGTGAAGTGATTGGGCTTCACCCTCTCTGTGCTGTCTCAGGAAGAAATTGTCACTTGGCTCTATTCACATTGGACATTTGTTATTAGAGAAATAGAGACATGATGGAACATTGCCACAAGATCCATGTCTCTTGTTTTTAAAATAAACATCTTTGCTTTGACTTGACGTTTATTTTCCATAAATGCCTCAGCTTCAATTTGGCATTTCAGCAACAGCGGGAGGCTGTTATCCTGTGACAACACGCAATTCCATTGACATTATCTCTTGAATACATGTGACAGTGCTCCAAATACTGTGTGTAGTTGATTTTAGTTAAACAATGTCATGAAAATATAAAGCAAATGTATTGGATAGCAGAAGTGGCCATATTTTCCAGCTCTATGCTGTGTGTGTAACACCACAATTACACAAGGAACACTATGTATTGGTGAGTGCTACCTTAGTAAGCACACCCTGAGTTTGACTTAGGGGGTCCAAAGCAGTGAATGCCTATTAATTCCTGTTGACTTGAGGGCTGTGGCTGATGTGTTGGTTAGCATGTGCAGAGCTGAGCCTGTCAACATTTTGA